ACGTCCTCCTCCACAGATGTGTATTCTCTTTTCTAGAAACAGCTCCTACTTGTTGCTTGGACTTAGCAGATTGAACGTGTATCACAGGATGAGCTGACCATGCAGCCTGAGCGTCCCACAACAAAGTGAGTGGTCTGACCCGCTTGGCCTTAAGGTTGGGCGTGTGCAGCCGCCGTAGATCATTTAGGGGCAATGGCATGTGGAAGAGCGAGTGTACGCACGTGCAGAAGGTAAACTGAGTGAACAGGTGGCTCTTTCAACGGACACCTGCTGCACGGCATCAAGTGTTTTTTGTGACCAGGTGACTGAGAACACCTACATACAGTGACGGAGGAAAAGCGTGAGTGGAACTTTGAGCTGTACCTCTGGTTACCCACTTGTCTGGAATGAGGTAGGACCGAAAGTACTGATCTACGTTGATCTGTGGTGAGTTGCCAACAGTTTGGTTGGATGGTTGAACACCTGGAACAGGATTCAAGGATTAGTGACAAGGTCTGGCTGGGGACAGACCTCTCAAAATGGGCACCAACTATGAAGATATCTGTATCCATGGGTGCCCGCCAGAGAATCCCTATGGGGATGCTCTTAATGATCAGGGAGACAAAATGGCATGCCTTGTATTTGTAGTCAGCTTCCTTCCCCAGCCACCATGCTTGCTTGGTGGACCCATGAACCAAAGGGCCATCAAGACAGGGGTGGGGGCTAGAATAGGCTCAACTCTTAGACCTGCCCTGCCCAAGGCTCACCAAGCTAACTATCACTACTGAGGGCCTAACCAGCTAACAGACACTAACACCGAGTCCCTAGGATGGCATTTCCTAAGAGGACCAGCTAGCCACCCGGTGGCAGGTGGACTACACTGGGCCTCTTGCATCATGGAGAGGGCAGAGATTGGTCTTCACTCAATAAATTCATATTCCAGTGATGGACACACCCACCATGCCTGTCAGCACCACCATCCACGGTCACATTCCACAAATAGCTGTTGATCACAGAACCCAAATCACAGCAAAGGACATTCACGAGCAATGGGCTTGTGTCCATGGAAGTTAACTGTTCTTACTACATCACCCCCCACCAGGAAGCAGCTGGGCATCCTGAGGATTCAGCTATGGGGAAGGAATGGGGTCCTGTCTTCCAGGATGACTTTTAGGCTGTTAGCCAGAGGCCGTTACCTGGTGCTGACTCCCCCACAGCCAGAATACATGGGTCTGAGGATCGAGGCGTGGGAGTGGGGGCTGGCACGTCCCAGTATTACACTTAACAACCCAATCACAGAATCTTTTTATTCCAGGCCTGGAAAATTTGGGCGTTGGTTTGATGGTCTTGGACCCTAAGGGGGTATAAGCTCCCCCTGAGGGACACAACACTGATTCTGGGTAATCTGAAGAGAATGCTACTCAGCGGGGTCAGAGGACTAATCCTGGGATCCAGAGGGATTCTCTGGTGTCTCTCAGTGTTTCCATGTAAGGGAAGTAAAGGACCTTACAACAAAGGTTTCTAAAAAAGGACACTTCGGCAATGAAGCTTTGGGTCCAGCAGGTAAAAACCAGTTAACGGAGGGTCTGAGGACAAGGGAAGTGTGGAGGGAGGCGGGGAGGATGTCACAAATGTCAACTACAGTCCTGTGACCAATTACAGGATCAAGGGCAGTACTAACTGTGCACATTTTCTGATTCATATATGCTCATTGCTCACTTGAAGAGCTTACTACACATGCGTGTTGTTCTACCACACCCCTGGTCTCGTAACCAAATGCTGGTAAGGATTCCTACACTGCAGATGACTGATGGTGACAAACTCTGAGAGTGCATGGTTGTGCTGAATCCTGGATGTGTCACCCTGCTGCCCACAAGAGGAGGGAAAGAGGGTCCGAGAAGCAGTGAGCTCACCAGGGAAAGTGAGGAAATGCGGGGTGCGCGGACTTCCCGACACCCAGAGCCATCAGTGGACTGGCCCAAACACATCCGAGCTCTGGCCACTGGGCCCGGTGGGGCTGCTGTGGCGCCGAGCCTTATCCTGACAGTCCTGTGGCGCCACCTCTCCTCCGCAGCGCCCTCTGGCTGCTGTCAGTAGTAAGGGGAGAGCCGGCCAGTGTTCCGAAGAAAATTTAGCTTTATTATGACATATGAAACACTACAAGCCATTAAGAGAGAAGAGTCAACAGTTCCTCAGAATGACAGGTAAAAGAGAAGTGTAAACATCTTGGCAATAAAATCCACAGCACGATCATTGGAATCTTTCTTACAATTTTTGTTTTCAAGGTTATAGTCAATGAAACAGTCACTTGAATTGTCAAAAGAAGGGCCATCTGACCCAGGGAAAGCATACACACCAAGCCAAAGGACAAGAGCACAGGGCTATGTGTTGTGGGGTCGGGGGCGCTGCCGCAGGAAGGAAGCCTCAGACGATCCTGCGCCCTGGCAGGGAGGCCCGGCCGCTCGGAGCTCACTGCCCACCTCTGAAGACAGAAAGCCTGGTTTCCCTGTGATGCGCTCAAAGGACAGCCAACATCTCAGAAACACACGTTATTTTAAAACCACTGGTGGGAGTGTGGAGGCTGGTGGGGGTCACCTGATGATCCCGTTAGTGTCAGACGCACTTGGTAATGACCTGAACACCTATACACGGGCTGTTAGGAAGAAACAAGAAAGCCATGTTCCTGAATTTAACAGCTGGCCTGGGAGTGAAAAGAAACATTCCCAGGCCCAGGATGGAGTACTCTGTGGGTAACAGGGTGAATCCCAGCGACCATGTCGGCAGCAGGATGTCCTGCTGTGGCAACATTGCCCACGGTGCTTGTGGTCACAGGAGCTTCCCAGTGGCACAGAGACAGGTGGCGACTTGCAACGCCAGTGCCAACAGGGAATACCGACAATTATTTTGGATACAAAAAGTTAAAGTCATGTCTACAAAAGAGAAACGTGGCCTGTCTGTCCCCAGACCTCATGCTCTTGGAACAGGTGAGCTCTCCTGAACATGAGCAGACACAGATGTGGGAAGCAGGACAGGCCAGACCACAGGGAAGCTGCCAGAAAACCCGGGATGATCCAGTAAAGCCAGGTCACAAGGCAGCAAAGCTCACGGCTCAGAACTCTGCAGGCCTGCTTCAGTCAGCTCCGCGTTTGATTTGCTCCTTATTAAAAGGCAACGGCTCTCCCAAAAAGAAATCTTCACAACACGGTCTCACTCACTCACACACACACCTCAGGCACGTGGGACCACTTCTGAAAATTTGCACCCACCCGTATTTCTGATGACTCCTGCGTATTCCCAAAATGCGGAGATACACTGAGCCTGAACTGAGCAAGTGCTTTAAAAGCTACATCACGGACTTTGTCGAATATGCTGCTGCAGCGTACTCTTGTTGTTTCGTGTATTCTAGCATGTTCCACACTGAGCAGTAACTACTCAACTTCTGCTGTTCCTACCCACTTCCAGATCTGGCCCACTGACTTGTGCTTACATGGCCTACCAGCTCAGAATAGTTTGCACATTTTTAAATAGAGAAAAAAAAAATCCACGACATTTCAGCATCCATAAGATGCTTTATTGGAACACAGCCATGCTTATCTGTTTCTGTATTAGCTACGGCAGACACCACGTGGCCCATAAAGCCTCAAATATTTACTACCTGGCTCTTTAGAAAAACAAAACAAGAAAAAAGAGAGAGAAAGAGAGAAAAGAAAGGAAAGGAAAGGAAAAAAGAAACAGTGCTGAACCTCAAACAGAGGGTTCTCTTCTGTGGGAACAAACATTCCACAGCTCCGATGCAGACCGGGCTCCCAGGACAAATGCTGCCTGTTTCGTGAACGACATTCAAGCAGCTTTTCCTCCCCCACAGAAACGGACAATCGAAGTTTGGGTTTGAACAGACAGATGCATGCAGGGTATCTTATAAGGAACAAGGCGAACTGTTCCACCTCCTCGCGCGGCTCCTCCCTCTTCCCAGCAGCTCCCGCGCAGAGCCACCTGCCCCTGCTCCGCATGAAACTACAGCCGGCGGAGTGCGGAGGCAGCAGCGACCAAAGGCAGGCTCCAGCGGAAGCCGCTCCAGCATCCATCCGACTCACGAGCCGCCACGCAGCCACACGGACAGCGAGCGGGCCGGGTGGCCAGGAAGAAAACAGGAGGAAGGGAACAATGAAGCCACTGAAACACTTCATTTACGCGAAAGGTTAATAGGACACCGACACTTACTAGCCTCAGCCTGACTCGTCCACCGCCCCCGCCAGCCTTCACCAGGACCCGGACGCTTCTGAAGGGAAAGGGGGGGAGGGGGGCAAGCAACAAAACCAGCACCAATGAAAAAGCAAGATTCACTCTCCAGTATAAAGGAAAACGATCTAAATGTATAAATCCAATAATTCATTCACATTACTACCATTACGTTTATGAAAGTCACCATTGTGGAAAAAGAGAAAAGGGGAGAGGGCCAAGAAAGTGCCTATTTCCAAAAAAAAAAAAAAAAAAAGCAAGAGAGAACACCGGGCTGACGCTTCCACATGCAGCTGGATGCTAAGTGATCTGCGCAACAGACGTGCTTGGGAACCCCCGTTAGTGTCTTCGGTCCCGCGGGCTGGGCGGAGGGGGTTCTTCTATCTGCTGACGGAGGGGGTTCTTCTATCTGCTGACGAGACGAGGCTAAGAGTCCCAGCTAGCTATTTGATACTAAACCCACAGCGACGAAGGTACGTGCGAAGTCCTCTGTCCTCACACCACGTCTTTGGCTCCTGTACTTCTCTGCTTTAACGGACCCACGATGGGAAACCAGGCTGGCGCCTTGCTAAACCGAAGCCACAGGACAGGCCCCTCCCCCCCCCCCCCGCACGTGGTCTTGAGGCGCCCAGGAGACGCCCAGGGACGGTCCCCAGTGCCCCTCCCCATGCAGGGCCCAGCCCCCACGTCGCTGTGTCCGTCGCGCGGGTCTGGGAGCCTCGTTCGGAGCCCAGCGCCTGTCCACGCAGACACTGCGACCCTGGGCACCCGCCATGCCCGCTGCTGGGCCCAGGCTGCAGAGGAATCCGATGCTCTCGGGGGCACTTCTGTTTGGGTGGTGGCTTCATGAAGTCGGGGAGGACGGGGATCGTTTTGTGAGGCTGGCCAACTCATCGCCCCCATTTCTGTGGACCAGCTGCAGGTAAAGCTACTCATATTCCAGGAACTGTTTGTGGTAGAACAGCAGGTATCTGGGGAGGCAGACAGGAAGCAGGCATACATTCTAATTCACCAAAGTTCACACAACCCCAGGCTTCTGACACCGGGAACACCCATGCTGTGGCCTCGGCACCCACTGGCAGCCTGATGGCTTGCTTGCTAGGTGCTGGTTCTTAGTCCCCAAAGACAAGGTGCCTTGGCTGGGCAGCAGGGTGCCCAGAGCGAATGCCCATCCTCCCACCTGTCCACCAGGGTATCGTGAGTGCCTCAGTCCCACCCCCCACACGGCTCCTGAAGCTTTTCAGTCGGCCACTGCAGCTGCCCTCAGGCGGCGGCTACTCTGGGGGAGACTCTGGCAACGGCTTCTGGTCCAAATCCGCCCCTTCCGGCGGCCTCCTCTGGCCTCCTCATTACCCACAAAACTGTCCTGTCTCACACCAATTCTTCTACACACACTCTCTCAAGGGGCGCCCCACCACTTGGAGTAAAGACAAAGTGCAGACGCCTCAGGAGCGCTCCAGTCGGCTCATCCCGGCCCATCCTGGAGCGGGGGATTCTACGGCCAGTCTCAAGACGAAGAAGGACTTAACAAGGCAAAAGGTGGATGACAGTGGGCTAGGGAGGAATGAAGCAGGTCAAGAAGGAAGGAGCTCCCCAAGCCCCCCGGTGGCCGCTCATGCAGTCGGGGACAGAAACCACCACCCTCACACTCTGGGCGTGAAGGTGCTCATCGAGAGTGACCCCGCCCATCCAGCTGCCCACCCAGGCTGGCATCCTGTCCAGAACATGCCTCACTACATCGGAGACTCAAGGTGAACATCCAGCCGGACGTACCCCTCACTGTCCAGCACGTCCTCAATGCTGGCCTTGGTGATGATGGCATCGTCACACTTGAACCACTGGTCCTTGTGCTGCCGGATGAAGCTGGTGTAGTGGCCGCTCTCCAGGGTCCCTTGGTGGTTAACTACAGCAAACAAGGAGTACCTAGTTTGGGAGCGCGGGAGTGGGGAAAGAAGGGGCAGTCAAGTTAGTTTTATCACCATCAGAAGCCTGTACAGTGCATAGCCCCCAGACACCCCAAGAACGAGAGTGGGAGCCCGGCAGGCAGGCCGGCCTAGCCCACTCAGCTCTCGAGCTGCTTTGCGGGAGCCCCACTTAGTGGAAGTGGGGACAGCCAGCCGCACTGGGGATGCTGTAAGCACGCCGTCCTCTGTTCTTTCTCCCACAGCGACGGCAGCGGGTGGTGAAGGAAAAAACAGAGGCCTTACTACAGCGTGGGTGGACGCAGAGGCCGAGGGGCCCCGAATCCAGACACTGAGCCCTGGCCAGCGCACAGGAGCTGGGACAGAGGGGCGCGGGCTCCTCCATCGGGGAGCTTTACGGTGCACGTGTGAAAAGCCCTCTCCCAACAGCCTGCAGCATTTCCAACAAGGGTGGAGGAGCAGCAAGACAGAAGGCAGGCCAGCGGCCAGAGGAAGAGCCGTGCCGTCGTGGGGCCCTCCCCGCGTGGCCTACCGGTGCTCCCACGCTCCCCGCTCATGCTGCAGACGCCCGGCGCCAACCCACGAGGCACCACTTACTTATTGTCATTGTTGAGGCTGTCCGTTGGCTGCTGGTACTGTCCATTCATCCTGCTCTCTTTGCTGCAACCAACAACAGCACTTCCTCAGCATCATTTACAATAATCACCCAAGCAGATGCGTGGCTCGAACGACGGCAACCACTACCCCCGGGGACGCGGCACTTGGTGCATTTTAGACACACTTTCTAATTCTTCCAGCCACTCTGCTTTCTAGGGGAAGACCATCCCCGAGTCAAGGTGGGGAAGCAGAGGCCGGGGCTGGAGAACCGAGCTGCGCAGAGCCACAAGGCGCAGATGGACCAGACTCCACCTCGCTGCTTCCAGCCAAGCTTGTGGTGCCGTGTTACGGGGGCCGAGGAGATTAACGCACGTCTGACGTATGAGCGAGTGTCAACGGTGATTCGGAGGGTGCATTTTAAGTGGTCTGGGATATCAAGATGTGAATCTACAACTGCAACACCAACTGTGCTCAGCTGCACCCGAAGGCAGTTCCATCCGCCACAGCGCTGCCTTCCGTGATCGCACCGTGACCGCTCGCCACGTCTGGGAGCTGAGAAAGGACCGCTAGGGAAGAGCCAAAGCTGCGGCAGCCCAGCTGAGGAAACTCAACTGTGTCCTGGGTGAAGACCAGGATGACGATTCCGTTTTGGCAGATGTACTTCTAGCAACCTCTACACCGGCTCATCGGGGAACCAGAGCCAATCACGGACCCAACGGAGCCACAGCCCTCCCGGTCACTCATACAGCGTCCCAAACCCTTTCATACCTGGACGCCATGAAGGGCGTCATGTCCAGTTCCAGGGGAAAGGACACGTACGTGGTGATCTTCCGCCTCAGTTTGGCCGAGTGTTCAAATCGCTGCAGAAATTGGGGAGAGAAGAGGATGAAGCTGTAGGGCTTTCTTCCGACGGTGCTTCTCTCAACACCCCCAAAAGGGGGCTTTTCTCTAGAGCTTACAGACTCAATAACACAGTATTAATCCATGCAAATCTAATTCGTGGGGTTCAAAAATGGAGGTTTGAAATGATGCTACTGTTCAAAGTGATCGAGGCCAAGTGTGCAAAAAAGTAATCTTATAACAAACCCAGCAAAGTGCAAGGTGGAAGGAAACAGAACAAACATCCATAAGCTCCAGGAGCAAAAATGGACGTACTGTTCCTTTTACCACAGACATTCCTTCAACTACACTGGGACCACCAAATCCAGCCAGCAAGCCAGGAATGGTGTGGGTTTTCTGTTGAAAGGGTCATAAAATAAAACGAAGACCATAAAACAAAGATTCTATGTGGCCATGACGCCTAAAATATTTACCATCTGACCCTTTATAGAGAAAGCTGACCGACCCCCTGGACTAGATCATAAGGCTCGGGTCTTGTTTGCTTTTAAGTAAAAGAAAAGCAGAGAACTCTGGTGTTGGGGGGAGCGTGGGAACCTCGGGGGAAGGAGGAGGAAATTCCTAAACCCCGCCCCCAGGAGAGTAACTCACATCCTACTGTCATTATGAAGTCATCACTCTGGTTCACCACAAACCTCTCTGGGCAACAGAAGACGGGAGAGTCACAAGCTACTACTGAGTCACTGCTGTTACAAAATGTACTTCTGGACGCCAAACCGACAGGCTCTAAGTTGTGCCGGGGATTAAAAATGCAGTCTGCCGCTGGAGTGTGCTTCCTAGAAAACTTACTTTGAGATGAAAACAGGCTACAATGGGCAGCTTCTTCATGGTGAGCTGCTTCGTGGACTCCTGGTAGCTATGGCAGCCACTGCACTTGATCTTGGCACTGCTTCCTAAGTGCTCCGGTCGGGTAAATCTTCCAGACATTTCAACAATACAGTTTTAGTTAAAAAAAAAAAAAAAAAAAAGATGGCAGAAGTAAGAAAGGAAAAAAAATAATTATCACTTTCAATGGGTTAATTTCCCTACTGAAAACATACGTACAGTTAGGGGTGTTTATAATTTCACAACGGGGAAAAAAAATTTCTTCCTTCACCTCTTCCCCTTATCACTTTAAAAGTGATTTTGTTTTTATTTATTTTTTTAAATTAAAAGTCTGGTGAAATAGTAATGATTTTCTAATGACCGTAAGACTCAGCAATTCGAATTTCAGAAAAACAACAACTCATGATCATGCAAACGACTATACATAAATGTTTTTAGCAGCTGTGTTTGTTAACAGCCGAAACACCTGGCAGCAATCAGTGCTGTTCAATGTGCAGATGGTTAAAGAAAATGCTACATGACCCCGTGGAATACTCATCGGCAACAAACAGGAACAAACTATGGACACACACAACCTGGATGAATCTTCGGAGACTTATGGTGGGGAGCCTGGGGAAGGAGATCCAAGAGGTTCCATGTTCTATGATTCCATTTACGTAACATTCTCGGAACGCTGAATTTGTAGCTGCCAGGGGTTACGAGGCAGTGGTCGGGGGAGAGACACGGAAGGCTGGAAATGCCCTGCATCCTGACTGCATTGATGTGAATATCCTGATCATTACATTGTACTGTAATTTAACAAGATGTTACCACTGGGGAAACTCAGTAGAGGAAACCCAGTCATTATAATTGCACCTGAATCTGTATCCCAAAATAAAAGTTAAATTTTAAAAACGGGGAAATGATCATTCTCGAATGATGCAGACAGACCTCAGACGTAGCAAGGCTGCACTAAGTCCGAAAGCATTTGTGGCACAGGTGGCGGCTACCCATAAAACAGATGTTTCAATATGGTTTATGCCAGATTTTTTAAGTTTAAAGCTGAAAAGCAAATGAAGTTCATCTTTTCACAACCAGATCTGGAAATCTTTGTTAATCCTTTGGAAATTCCGTGATCTCACCGGGGCAAGACGATGCCTCCTCCTGACCACAGCTGACCCTGCCTGCCCCAGGAGGTGCCCCTTAAGTGGGAAGCCGAGGGAAGCCAAGGAGAGCAGTTAGATCTCATGGGGAAGAACATGGTACAAGGCATCTGAGCGTGTTTGCCCCAACCTGCAAGGACTAGCCCACAAATGTAATTGGCAAAGTCCACAGTGTGGGTAATTCTGTGAAGAATGATCTTGTCTTTTCAACATAGAAACAGCAAGGAAACCAAAAGGAGGGGGCTGAAGCCTATGGATTTGCAACCAAATGTAATGTGCACACCTAGTCTGGATCCTGAGTTGAACAAACTGTACGGAATAGTTTCTTATAAAAACAATCAGGGCAGTTTAAACACTCGGTACCTGACTGGAAGAGAAGAATGTGCCCATGTTTATAGTGAAGACTCCAGAAATACATGACTTGCCACACACTACCCCATAACCCAATTTTCCAACTCAAACCCATTTGGCCCCAGCCCAAACAAACTGCTCAGGACCGCACCAGGGGCCACAACCGCTTCCCTGACGTCTAGACCAGCTCCTTCAGTCAGCACTAGAGATAGAGGGACAAGTACTCGGGCCGTGTGTCACTACCAGGTAGATCGAGCACGGTGCACTGAGGAAAAACATGGACTTTTCCAACTGGAAGCCCAATGCCAGCCCACAGCAGAAATTAGGCAGAGGACTCTGCCCGTGCAGCAAGCATTCAGAAAGCAGGTGTCTGATGGTGGAAAGCAAAGTGCCCAAGGCAACAAACCTACCAAGCCGGGCTGCAAACACTTCCTTCCCCAGTGAAGGAAGGGCCTGAGGCTCGTGCTGCAGGAACTCTCGAATGTGACAGGGTCGAGCTTCCTAAGATGCAGCCTTGTGTGGCTTGTCAACTCAGAGTGGGGGGTGTGAACACTGCACTTACCCTCAAATTTGGAAACACAAGTGTCAGCCAGTTTTAACCACTTTGCTAACTATTATCAATTAAGCAACTGATCAATAAGCACACTGCTTCTCCTGAGGATGCACATTTTAAAAACATGTATGCCAGTGCGGTATCAAATGCTGAGTCCAAAGTCATCTTTCGAGGTTTTTCTCATTTTTTATTCTTCGGGAAGTTCGATGTTTTGTCATTCTTCTTTCCGTGTGCGGTGCCCCCTAAGTGGAAATGCACTTAACTCAAATCTTTCTCCTCTCTGCCAAACGACACTAACATTCGGACACCAAATATGTCAACCAAACCTTCTTCGACACTAAGAAAATGTCCCACAACGTCAGATACGGAGAAGATTTGGCTTTGAATTCCGTAACTGTGAGTGAAGAATGGAAAGACAACAGAGCTCAACTCCCGGATCCTCTCAACTATCTATCCGCGCCACTCCTCCACCCATGTCTGGGGAATTGCCAAACCTGGGTGGGAGGCAGGGCCCATCTTTCTTCATGGAAGTTTACCACAAAGGCCAGGTATTTGCTTTTCCCACCCACCAGCATTCTGGGCACCCGACCTAGGCTCGACCAGTCAGATACTCGTAATGAGGACTCTGCGGCTGGAAAAGTCATTCTCAAGAAGCATCTGGAGGAAGAACTGGTCTTGCCAGGAGCAGCAGCTCCACGGCACCGGAGAGCTACAGGCCAGCAGCGGGCTGCATGTTTCTGGATACCGGTCCCCAAGCCTCGCATGGTGACCACGTGTTTGCTGAGCCAGGTCCTCTTCAGCCTTCCTGTGGATGCGGTCAACTACCCAGTCTCTACCCGCCTAAGCCCAGCAGAGCCCATTTCTGCTGCCTGCAAGCCTGCAAGCACTCCGACCTGCTAAGTGCAGGTGCGCCCTCCCACGTGCCCGGCAGAAGACCATCACCACTTGAGGTGCGACAGGGGGACAGGAAAGTAGTACGAGGCAGTCTCCTCCCCGAAAGGCTCAAGGAGTACAGGGTGAGCACTCCCCCAGGCAGCTCCCGAGGGGTGATGGCCACCTCTCTGCCCCCGCACCGCTTACCCTCATGACACGCTTGAGAACTCGGAGGGTCTGGAGCTATGGAATTCCATCTACCTCAACTTCCTCCTGCCGGCTTTGCATTCTGCTCTCAACGTAACTTGGAAAGGGCCCCTTTGCTGTTAACACAAACTCGAGACGAACGTGCTCGCCTTTCCTCGGCCACTCGGCTATGGACCCAGCCCCCCACGGCCCCTGACCGGACAGCTCGGTGGGCATCTCAGTGTGGAAAGTGTCGCTGCCCCCTCCGTGCCCGCTTGGTGGGCAAAGCTTCAGGTTTGCTGAAACATACAACTAAGTGCAACGGATTTGTAAACACTGCCTTCAAAAATGGTGGCCTTTTCAGTTCTGATGTTCTTCTTGGTTTCCAAAGTACAAGTTTGATGCCCCATTTACATCTGGACCTACCAGTGTGACGGAGTTGACGTGTTTAAAAATTCTTAACATGCACCTCTGAGCCTGTGACTACACAGCAAGATAAAAACCAAGAAGCCTGCCCCTCTTCGTAAGGAACACCTCTGCCCAAGGATGCACATGCGGTGACCTTTAAAGTGAGTAAAAGAAAATAAAGGCTGTAGAACACTCAAGTCCAATAGAATGGTTTAGAAAGGGTCTCTAGTGTCTCCGCTATTGCATGTGAGCTACCCGAGCACGCTGACGGCAACCGGCCCTAAACCCTAGCATTCATCCCAGGTGGAGATGCGGAACACGGACGCGTGCACCACCACAAATGGGCCCATCGCCGGCAGGAAGGGCCCCGCCAGACGCTGGGGCAGCTTCTCAGCCCTGGACGGTGACGGAGCTTCAACCTCAGCTCTCTGGCTCTCGGGCACCTTACCCAGCGGGCGGGGGGGGGGGCCCACGCCGAGCTGGGTGAACAGAATAGTCCTCTTGCCAACACGTGACAGACTCTACGAGCCACTGGGCACCAGCTGCAGCCACCCGCAGGCTGTCCTGCCTTGTCTCATTTTCTATACCGGACACGTGAGAGAAAATTCTCTTGGGGCCCCGGGTGGCCCTGAATTTCTTCGCACTTTTCTCTGACCGACCACTACCTCAAAGAGCCTCGGGCAGGAAAGAAAAGCGCCTGCTTTGTCTCCAGAAGCGCCGGCGGCTTCCTTACCTCCGCAAGCAGTCCGTGAGCGTAGTGGTTCCTGCTACATGGCTTTCCCCATTCACCACGCTGCCCTCACTCCCGGGGCTCAGGGGCCAGAACGGGGTGGAGGAGCCAGGCAGGTCTAAACTGATGTCCCAGAAGGGGTCTATGGTGGTAGAGACTCCGCTAGAAGCGAGAGGAGAGACACATGCAGGTTAGAACGGACGGCCACACAGCCTCTGAGGCGCACCTGGCCCACGACATCCACATCATCTCACAGCTCTGCCCTTCCATCCAGATGATGTGGAAGGTTACAAAATGAGGGGCAACTCCCACCCAACACGTCCTGGTGGAGGAATAGCAGGTAAACCACTTCCGGCAGAGGCCACTCCGAAAGCTACAGTTTCAGAACCCAGAAGATCATTACGATCATTTGAGATTTTTTGAAAATAGAGACAGACCCCTGGGCCCCACGTCCAGAAGTTCTGAATTGATGGATCTAGCTCAGCAGCATCTGAGCAACTGGAAACCGCGAGTCCAGGGAGCGATTTAGAGCTCCACGCACACTGCCCGTGGAGAGAACACACCGAGCCAGCGCCGCGCCATGGGATGCTCTACCTAACAGAGCTGGTTCCCTCCCAGACACGAACTGTGAAGGACAGGCTGGGAACTTCACTCCAGATACTCAAACAGGACATAAACCCGAGACAACCTCCTGCTGCCGGAATTCAGCAGCACAGAGCCGACAAGGAGGTCCTCTAAAACTGTGAGTCTAAACACTGGAGCAATGCCCATGATGGCATCTACGTCACAGAAAACTGGGTGTGTGACCCAGGCAGAACCGCTCCCCTCCCAGTATCTCCTCTGTCCTCTACCAACTGCACGTGGGAATCCAGTAGAGGTTCCGAAATAACTTGAGTGGATCGTGACCAAGATTTTTTAAAACCCTGAAACTGAAAAACACAGAGGAGTGTGCACGGAGGTCGAAAGGGAGGGTTCTTGCAACCTCACTGACCCATGCATCCTCCTCCTGGAAATCAAAGCTCTGCACGCTGAGCAAAGCTGTGATCAGGGACAGTAGTCTGGAGAACATGGGAAAGGAAACCAGGACATGAAAAGCAACACATTTTGGAGCACGGGTGTCAAGGATCTGCCAGGTGTGCACCAGTCCCTCCGGAAGGCAGGGCTCTTATTTAGCTCCTGGTAGAACGAGATGTGGCAGGGAGCAGCTTTCCCGGGTGTGCATGGGAACAAAGGTGGCCCCGGGGACCTGCTCCAGACGACCTGCAGCACTCGGGGCGACCTGCTCCTCTGTGGGCCTCCGGTACTGGAGTTGATTTATCTCAACACATTTGATGGCTTGGCTGTTTAACCTCAGCTCGTCCTGCTCCACGTTCAGTTGCTGCAAAGGCTCCTCTGTAAGAGCCACACCACCTACTCATCCACACATCACCGAAGAGCCAGAGCCGTGGGGGCATGGACTAAACTTCTGGCTCTAAGTGTTAAACTTCTAAAACCTGCTCAAAACCCAGCAGTTTTGTGGGCTGAACATGTCCCATGATGTTCCAAAAGCAGCACCTAGAACCAAGTCGGTCTCACGGGCAGGACCTGGGGTCCCACATCACGGTCTGCTCAGCACAGCCCAGGCGGCCTCTCGCGTTCCAGAAGAACGCTGGGTGTTGTGCGGGAAGCCTCGCACACTTACTGGCAGACTTGGCAGGTGACGTCCGACTGCAGCCCGCCCGTGAAGATCTGGTCTATGATGCAGTTGCAGTGGTTGGGGTTGTTGGCCTTCTTCCCATTATCGTCACCTGGGGAAAGATCACAGCTGTGTGATTTGCATCTGGGCCCCTGAGTCCGCAAGCTTCCCAAGAGCCACCGGCCCAAGGTGCGAGGCCATTCACCTGGTGCAGAGGCTGATGAAGCCAAAGTGCCAATACTTTCACAAGAGCACAGGAGGACCCTTATTGGAACCGGGAGACTTGGAGGAAAAAGAGGAAACCACCCAGCTAGCTTATTTTCAGTTTGCTTCTTTTTCGCCATTCCCTAAGATCCACTTGACTTCTATCTAGATGCCATGATGTAGCTAGCGCCCAGTCACTGGGGAGAGTCACGGATTCCCCTTTCCCCCCACAGAACAACTGAGCGGCCCTGCCATGGTGGGGCGCCCCACGCTGCCAGGGAATGCCTGCTCCCCTGCTGCGCAGCACGGACACGGCGCCCCGACTTCAGAAAACGTCTCTGCAGGACTCCCGTCGGTCTGTTTTCCCCATCAGCTCCTGCACCCTACAACTTCACGAACAGCTCTGCTTTCTAAGCATTTGCACCTAGATTAAGTACCACTCCTATCCTCTCTAGTTCAACACGGATTCTATTTATACATTCGGGGGCAGATATATGAATACAAAGCTTACATGCTGGAACACAATACATACTAACATATGTCGTAAATACATACTACAGAACTTTCATTCAACCAAAGAGGATAGACTGTGTTTATCTGTATATATGTTTCTTCTCAAACAAGTGAAATTATTACCTAGGAATAAAGGATGCCCAGTAGGTCTTTTGACAGCAAACTGCCTAGAGAGATTAGGGAGAAAATGCTACCCAGAAAGATTTCAAGTTCATGGGACAAAATGTCAGGATACAGGAAAATACATATAGGAAACCACAAAGGAAAGTAAGCCAAAAGATACCCGATGCTTGCAACCACATAAAAACACAACCCAGCCAAGTGAACTAGCAAGGCTGAAGGAGGAATTGGAACACCTGCTTTTTTTTTTTTTTTTTAAAGATTTTCTTTATTTGTCAGAAAGAGAGAGAGAGGGAACACAAGCAGGGGGAGTGGGAGAGGGAGAAGCAGGCTCCCCGCTGAGCAGGGAGCCCGATGCAGGACTTGATCCCAGGACCTTGGGATCATGACCTGAGCTAAAGGCAGACGCTTAACCGACTGAGCCACCCAGGCATCCCGGAACACACTGCCTCTGACGAGACAGTTCTTGTGACGTGTGAAACAGAATTACGTCAGGGAAGTGGATCATCATTGCATCATGTTTCTGTCAGATGAATGTTTTCCCAGCAATGCATTTGAAGCGGCTGATTTTTAGGACTAATGCTGGTTACAGAAGCCTCGTGATTATCCTCAAGTGCTCGGAATGATAATTTAATGGTCTTACACAGCGGCTCTTTTCGGTTTGTATGTTATACTTCATACTAGGAAACCAAACCCCACCTAAGCTATTCAGCACTATTTATTTGGCTCCTCGGGTGAGCACTGAAAAGATGTATAGGTTTTTCAGGAGAAAAACACTTAAGTACACAAAATAGCCAGAACCCAAAGCCCCGACAGCTGATGAGAACAAGCACCGTATTCGGAGTTTGGCTGGCCTCGAACTTGTGCTGTCAGACCTCACAGGGCATTTGGGAAAGCAGCCCCGTGACTGCAGAGAGGCTAAGCAGGAGGTCTGGGGAACAGAACTGTGGTCCAACAGAATCACCTACAACCCGCCGGTCCAGCCCAGAGGCCACAGGTAAGCAGGTAACTTCGTCACCCCGACCCATGTCAGCTATACCTGAGTGTGCGCTGAACCGGCATCACCGGGGACCCAGTAGGAAACTGCTGACCTCGCTCCACACCCACCGAACAGAAGCAGCAAAGAGCCCTCCAGGGGACTGTGACCCATCACGGTCGAGAATGCCCCTCAGCTGATCCTGCGTCAGCACACTTGGGCGTAGGGCCTTTGGACTGGGAGCCCCGCCACGGGGAGGGCAAGAGGAGGGACCCGCGGTGGCTTGTTATTCAGTCCTAACCTCCTGCCCCGAGCCTGAAGAGCTGCTTCCCCCATCCCCTTCCCCAGACTATCCAAACCCACCCACGTCTGAGACCCCTGAAGGGGCTGCCTCCCTCTGGGAGCCCAGCTGTGGGACAGAAGCCAAGACCCAGCGAAGTCCTGAGAGAGACTTGAGAAATCCCTTGGCTGGACCCCAAAATGAGCATGACTTAGGGTCAGGGAAGCACTGGAGAGCATGCAGGCCCAGTTTTGTATTTTCAGCTCTCTCTGGCAACTTTAGCGCCATGATCGGTCCTTCTGGAGACCCCCACCAGGGGAGGGAGCCAGTGTTAATGGTTCAGCTGCATTTGGAGCATATATGGAATTTTCTGGCGTGTTAGTGGCCATGGTAACCCAGAGGAGCCGCAGACCAGCTCCCTCACAATCAGGCCGAGAGGAAGCCGGCAGCAGAGGACTCCAGGCAAAGGCCCGTCAAGTACGGAAAGCTCTGTTCATGCTACGGGTTTTACAGGACCAACCGCCATGCTCTTCCCCTCCCAGCAAGGTCGGAAAACGACACCCCAAACCATTTCCTCCTCTTAAACTATGAAGAACCTCTCTGGGGTATTAGTGGGGAAAAACAATACAATTAGAACACAAGTGCCAGGAGTCCCCCGTGGTGGTGTTTGAGAGCGCCCCCTACCCCAGGCGGGGGGAATGGCGGAACCGGGGCGCGGAGCAGTACCTCTGCAGTGCCGGTACAGGGCGTCCGGGCACTCCCCCCCACCACCGCGCCCCCACGCCCCCCACGGTGCCCCCCCTCCGCGGAACCAGGGCGGAGCCGCACCTTTGCAGTGCTGGTGCAGGACGTCCAGGCACCCCCTCCACTGCGCCCCCCTCCCCCGCGGAACCGGGGCGCGGAGCAGTACCTTTGCAGTGCCAGTACAGGGCGTCCAGGCACCCCCCCCCAACGCGCCGCCACGTCCCCCACTGCGCCCCCCGCCCCCGGAACCGGGGCGGAGCCTCACCTTTGTAGTGTCGGTGCAGGACGTCCAGCAGCCCCCCCGACCGCGCCCCCATGCCCCCCACTGTGCCCCCCCTCCCCCGCAGAACCGGGGCGGAGCCGCACCTTTGCAGTGCCGGTGCAGGACGTCCAGAGCAGCGATGAGGAACTCGTGCGCATCCTGCTGCTCGTACCCCGCCAGGTGCCGTGCATGAGTCCACACCAGGTGCAGCAACTTGTAGGGGATGTGGGGGGAACGGTGCCCCGAGTAGAACTGCTCACAGACAGGGAGAGGAGGAAAACTGTCAGGAGTAAGTACTACACTCTGAACACAAAGCACACACGATAAAAAAATCTATGTAACCACCGCCTAGAATTTCTTGCGGTTACTCGGACAAAAGGATTTACTCCCTCCCCCCCCTTTTTTTTTTTTTCAAAATGTATTTTCATGTGGACTCCCTGGACTCTTTGAATCATTTTGTCCCTTCCCACTGTCGGTTTTCTACAGAGAAGCCAAAATGAGGAATGGGGAGTGCCCCATGCGGACACAAGGTGGGCGCCGGCACCAGGCTGCGCTCAGAGGTACTGAAGAAAGCAGACGAGGCGGAACCCGCCAGCTCCTCTGCTGGGCCCCTGAAGCACATGTGGGTGCTCTCGGCAGCCAGGGGCAGGCAGTGGCCCCGATCTGTAGTTGGGCAGCCTCTTCGGTCACTAGGTGTGGGGGATCCCGCCCCGGGACGCCTGAGCCCAGGCCTGAGCCCTGTCCCACTGTGAGTGCAGCCTAGGCCGCAAGCAGAACAGAACCTGACGTGCGGGGCGGAGGGCCACCAAGACAGGTGTTCTGGTGGAGCACACAGAGGTCTGGCAAGAGAAGACACGGGCCACTCTCCTTGAGGACAGGACGACAGACAATGAGGAGGATGAAAGGAGCACGGCATTTACAGACAAACGTCTTGCACCGGTTGCGCCCCCTCCGAAGGGCTCTTTCTCATCCTCCAAGTCGGCACCATGCCTCCAAGTGATGCCAATAGTCCCTAGCAATTCCCTTTGGAAAAAATGTTTCATAAGAAATGCATTTATTATTCCCTGTGCAAGGTTCCAGAAACCTGCCTTCCTTTATTATGTGAGCTTGATTTTTATAAAGGAAAAGTACAAGCGGTCACAGAAATGGTACTCTCCCCACGCCAGCAGCGCTCACCTCCTGAAACAGCGACGACATCTCGCAGACCAGACATGAGCTGGGGGTCTGCATCTCACACCTGTGCCTGTCGGAGAGGAAGAAGTCTCGCAGGAGCGGCGTGTGGGTGAGCGCCTGGACGATGCAGTTCATGAAGCAGGTGTTGCCAAGGTTGATCAGCCCCCGCAAACCTGGGCAGAAAAAACTTGAGTCTTCTTACAGGACAGACCATCCGAGCCCCGGGGCAGGGACCATTTCCGTCCATCACCATGAGGCCCCCTAAGCCTACCCCAGCTCCCCCCTCCCCTGGAGAACAGGTGCTCCAGAAGTTGGGGTGGGGGGAATGATGAACGACTTATACAAGGGCTTAAGGAGAACTGTGCTATGAAATCCACCTGTTTACATCGACTTTTAAACCCACAGAAGCCAGCCTTCCTGGCAGAACAAACCACCACTATGGGCGCTGTCGCCCACCTACCTATGGTGCAGTTGGAGGTGATCTTTCGCCTTTTCGGGTTGTGTTTCAGCAGTTCAAGCTCCCGTTTGGTGGGCTCCCAAGTTGAAAACTTCTCCCCAACGCCTAAGCAGAGGGAAGACAGTTCCCGGTGCCATGAGCTCAGTTTTCATCAAGTGTGTTTGTAAATAAAAGTGATGGTGATAGGATACTCATCAGCTTGTATTTCAAAGAGGGGCAGCCACAACACGAGGTCTTTGTTGAACTGTATTATACCGCAACGGGCTAAAAAGAATACTTAGGAGGAGTTTCTTTTAGAAAATGTGTGGTGAATGAGCGGTTTCCTGTGAGAAAGGCAACACCTCCAATTAACGCTACCAGAATGCTAATGCCAAGATGGGGATTTTTTGCAAAGCCTTTAATCCCCGAGTAGCGAGACTGCACCAGCCCCAGTGGCAAATACTACACTTGGCACTGAGATGAGGGGTCTCCCGTGAAAGAGTGAAAGCACAGGGAGAAAACGCACTCGCTGAAACACCGTTTGAAAAGACATCGTGTTGAACAGCCGTACCCACAGAAGATTTAATCAATACCACAGACAATGGTGCAGATGCTAATTGTCACAATTCATCTAATACCTACTTGTTCCACGTGACTTAAAATTTCTGCAAAATTCAATGAACTTTAGACATACTATCTCACTGACACACGGAGTTGTAGAATTATTTTAGAAGAGTTCTGTCTTATTCTGGGCCATGCATTTCTTAGCTCCTCTGGGTAAAATGTTCTTCCCAGAGAAATAATATATTCAGACTTACTTGCAATGTTACTAAATTTTTGAGGGAGAAAAGAATAGGAAGTTGGTTAAAGAGACTGTTCTCCAGAAAAGATGTGTTACATACAAACAATTCCGATCACAGAGAGCACCTGTTTCTATTGTTCCATTCTCAAAAAACAGGTAGTTTGAAAGCAGAGCTATTAAGGCCAAAAAGTGTAAAGCACATACCGGGATTCCATGTTCTCTCTATAAACAGTGGAAGTTCTGCTCACTGAGAGATGCTCACTAGTCAAGTGGGGTAAACTATACCTCCTACTGTTGTAAAACCCTTTTACTGTTACAGCATCTGCCGAAAATGAAAACTAAAGAAAAAATCAAGGAAACAAAAAAGAAAGAATAGGGAAAACAGCCACATATTTTTGTGTGTATCCCCCACTATGCATCCGATGAAGAACGCACGTGTGAGCACAGGGAACTGACAGCACCAGAGAACCCCACGCTGGGACCAGAAAACACATATTGGTCCCTGCCCCTGGTTCCTGGCACGAAGCTCCTCAAACCCTTATGATTTCCTAAGTGCTAAGAGCACTAGGAGCATCTTTATTCTAATGAGGTGACTCCCAGTGGGCTTGTGGAGGGGGCGGTTGCCAGAGAGACCACACCATGAGGAAAAGCTTGGCATTTTCAGCCCTCCTCCCCTGGCCCCCTGCAGAGGGCACCTGCCCACCTGTCTGGCCAGTCACCTCACCTGCTTCTCCCGGATCCTCAACTGGCGCCTACAGGGGGAAGCAAGCAGCTGTGAGGGTTCTTCCCACCAAATCAAGACCCAACCTACAAAAACCCAGAGGCTATCCCATCTCCCGACTCTGACCTTCTCCCTAGATATTGATCTTTCTCTTGATAAGCCCTGCCCTTGACAGACATGAGGAAATGCACAAGTAGGAGCCAAAACAGGCACATAAATCTAGGCAAAACCAAACCTTGCATTTTCCAAGCTTTCCGTTGCTCCTCTTTGGCAATGATTTCCATGTCTTTGTCATATATGTAGTCCTGACACAAAAAGCAGTAGATGCCTCCATACATAAGCTCTATGGCTGAAAAGAGAAAGAAGGAAAGAGATCAAATTGAATTAAAAACTTAAAGGTAACACTTAATAAAGTCACAAATGAAACAGCTAAGTGTTTTAGACATTTTACTGTTTCCACCATTCCCCTACTCTCAAACCATAGAAACCTCTTTTTATAAAAGGATTTTACCTCCCACTTCAGACCTTTATCCTAAGCCGGCAAGGTATGTGTATTTTCCCTGGAAGCTCAGGACTTCCGAGGCTGAGGAATCTGAGAATGAGAGGCGTCACATCCATATTTTATAAAGGACCTCAAGTTATCAGGACGCTCCGTCTATTCTCTGAAACAGTGGTATTTAAAACAAGGAAGGGGCAGCCAGTTAAGCGGCTGCCTTGGGCTCAGGCCCCGCCCACCCCCCCCCAGCTTGTGCTCATCTTCTCTCTCAAAGAAAAAATTTAAAAAAAAAGGAAAAACTTTCATAGAGTATGATCAGCTCATAAGGATTTGTAGCCACCTGACATGCATAACTGTGTTTTACTACATCTAGAATTCCTGATACGACTACAAAAAGGAATGCCACAGCTGTCTGCCTACTCTTACTTTGACAGTGGTAAAATATCCTCTACCCAGACAATCTTCACTTCTTGACCCACAGAGCTGACTCCTGCCCACCTGTGAGTGGGTCTTATGCATTTTCTCAACTGCATCATCTATAAAAACTGGCTCTTAGTTACTTCCTAATAAAGTAAGATAAAGTCCTTTAATTTAAGCATCTGGAAGAAAGGTGCCTCAATTCAACAGTTAAAAAGAATTTTTTCTGGCTTGGATTCACCAAGCAACAGAAGATGTCTGAGAGGCAATGCAGCACAAAGAGGACAGATTTAGAATAACTGGGATTAATCCCAGCTCTGTACTTACTAGTTACGCACCTCTGATAAATTACTCCACTTCCCCGAGCCTCAGCTTCCCCTTTGGTGTAGTGGTGACGGTAACAGCACTAAGAGCTCATAGGTTTGTATGGTGATTTTGTAACTTTACAGTACACCTAGAGCGCAGTCATGTCTTCGTACAACACAGCTTGTATCATAGTCCGTGTCTTCAGTTGCCAGGACACATCAGTAATATTGTGGGGGATCTTTAAAGTCCTCTGAAGCAGATGTAGTAAAGCTCAATTTAAGAGTCCCAAACCTACCCCTTGCCTCTCACCCAAAACTGACAAAAATTCCCACAAATTCTTTGAAAGTTGCCATCAAAGCTGCTGCAGAGCGCTTGGCTGCCCCTTGGCACTGTGCATTCCTTGAATGGGATAGTTCCTGGCATGGGATACGAAAGCCCGAGACAGACTACAATGAGGATGACAGAAATTTTCAGGAAAGCAGAGGCATTCAATAAAAAATATGCCAAGCAAGTTACACAGCGGGCTCTGCGCTCAGTGGGGAGTCGGCTTGAGATTCTCTCTTTCCCTCTCCATCTGCCCCTTGCCCCCTTCTCTCTCTCTCAAATAAATAAATAAATACAAAAAAAAAAAAAAAAAAAACCATATATATATGCCAAGCATACAGCCAACAGCACAACTACCAGCCTGAGGAAGGCATATAAATATTTCAATGTGTGTTCAAGTCCTCCTAAACAAGCTCTTCTTCAAGGCACCTTTCCACACCCAACACTTCACTCACCGTGTAAAACGAATGATGCCAATCATGGTGCCAAGAGCACTCAGTGGGGGAACACCAACCTTCCCAACAAAAGGTGGCATGACCAGAAAACCACCACCAAAAGAATGAAGCTCAATCCTGACCTTCCCATCATATACAAAAATGAACTCAGAATGCATCAGCAACCACAATAAAGCGCTAGAAGTATACAACTATTAGAAGAAAATCTAGGGGGGTTAAGTCTTCATGACCTCAGATTTGGCAATGGACTCAGATTTGACACCAAAAACATGAGCAACTAAAGAAAAAACTTGATAAATTGGGCTTCATCAAAACTAGACTTTGTGCCTCAAAGAACATTATTAAAGAAGTGAAAAGACAACCCACAGAATGGGAGGCAGTATCTGCAAAGCATATATCTGGTAAGGGTTCATTATCCAGGAGAGAGATATATATCTCCAAGAGGTGTGTGTGTGAATATAT